ACATACTACTCTTATTCCAATGTGGGACAAGACAACATTATGTACATATCTAACACTCCCCCTCAAGCCGATGCATACACATCATATGTACCGAGCTTGTTACACATGTAACTAATACGAGAACCAGTAAGAGACTTAGTGAAAATATCTGCTAGTTGATCATTCGACTTTACAAACTTTGTAATAATATCTCCTAAAAGTATTTTTTCTCTGACAAAATGACAGTCGATCTCAATGTGTTTAGTCCTCTCATGGAACACCGGATTTGACGCAATATGAAGAGCAGTTTGGTTATCACACGCTAGTTCCATCCTGCTGATTTCTCCGAACTTTAACTCCTTGAGCAACTGCTTGACCCAAACTAACTCACACGTTGCCATAGCCATGGCCCGATATTCGGCTTCGTCGCTAGATCGAGCAACTACATTCTGTTTCTGCCTCTTCCACGAGACCAAATTACCTCCTACTAGAACACAATATCCAGATGTAGATCGTCTATCAAAAGGTGATCCTACCCAATCAGCATCTGTGTACCCAACAATCTGCTCGTTGTCTAGATCTTCGAATAGTAATCCTTTGCCTGGAGCTGACTTTATATACCGAAGAATACGAAGAACTGCCTACCAGTGACTATCACAGGGAAAATCCATAAACTGACTTACAACACTCACCGGAAAAGAAATGTCAGGTCTAGTCACTGTGAGGTAATTCAATTTTCCAACCAACCTCCTATATCTCGTAGGGTCTCTAAGAGGCTCCCCCTGTCCAGGCAGAAGCTTAGCATTCGGATTCATAGGAGAGTCAATAGGTCTGCAACCCATCATTCCAGTCTCCTCAAGAATGTCTAAGGCATACTTCCGCTGTGAAATAACAATACCTGAGCTAGACTGAGCGATGTCAATACCTAGAAAATACTTCAGACTGCCCAAATCATTAGTTTGGAAGTGCTCAAAGAGATGTTTCTTCAGATTAGTAATACCATCCTGATCGTTGTCAGTAAGAACAATATTATCAACATAAACCACCAGATAAATACACAGATTCGGAGCAGAATGCCGATAAAACACAGAGTGATCAGCCTCACTACGAGTCATGCCGAACTACTGAATAATTGTGCTGAACTTATCAAACCAAGCTCGAGGGGACTGTTTCAAACCATATAGTGACTTGCGCAATCTGCATACACAACCACTAAACTCCCCCTGAGCAATAAAACAAGATGGTTGCTCCATAAAATTTCCTCGTCAAGATCACCGTGGAGAAAAGCATTCTTAATGTCTAACTGATAAAGAGGCCAATGACGTACAACAGTCATGGACAAAAAAAGACGAACAGATGCTACTTTAGCCACGGGAGAGAAAGTATCACTATAATCAAGCCCAAAAATTTGAGTATATCCTTTACAAAACGAGCCTTAAGCCGATCAACCTGGCCATTCGGACCGACTTTGACTGCATAAACTCAACGACAACCAACAGTAGACTTACCTGCAGGAAGAGGAACAAGCTCCCAAGTGCCACTCGCATGTAAAGCAAACATCTCGTCAATCATAGCTCGTCGCCATCCAGGATGAGATAGTGCCTCACTAGTAGACTTAGGAATAGAAACAGTGGACAAAGAAGATATAAAAGCATAATGAGGTGACGACAGACGATGATAACTTAGACCAACATAGTGGGGATTAGGATTAAGTGTGGACCGTACACCTTTGCGGAGTGCAATTGGTTGACTAAGAGGAGACAAGTCCGCAGTAGCTGCAGAACCTGATGCAGGACGTGAATCACCTGGGCCTGATGATGGATGTGGACGACGATGATAAGTCAAGAGTGGCGAAGCTGCAAAAGGTTGAACTGGATTATGTGGAGGAACTGGATTATGTGGAGGAACTGGACCTATAGGTGATGGAACTGGAGCTATAGATGGTGAAACGGGAGCTATAGATGGTGGAGCTGGAGATGTAGAGGAAGATGGATGGGAGATAGTGACTGAATCTCCTAAAGAAGAGACTGGTAGTACCTCAGAAATATCTAAGTGATTACCTGGACCTGTGAAGTATGATTGGGTTTCAAAAAAGGTAACATCAGCGGACATAAGGTACCGCTGGAGGTCAGGAGAATAGCATCGATACCCCTTTTGCGTTCTCGAGAAACCAAGAAATACGCACTTAAGAGCACGGGGAGCTAACTTATCTATTCCTGGAGTAAGGTTATGGATAAAACAAGTGCTTCCAAAGACACAGGGTGGAAGAGAGAACAAAGGTAAGTGGGGAAACATAACAGAGAATGGAACTTGGTTCTGGATAGCTGAAGATGGCATACGATTAATAAGATAGCAAGATGTAAGAACTGCATCCCCCAAAAAACGCAACGGAGCATGAGATTGTATGAGTAGGGTACGAGCAGTTTCAATAAGATGTCTATTCTTTCTTTCAGCTACCCCATTTTGTTGAGATGTGTACGGACAGGATGTTTGATGAATAATCCCATGAGATTTCATAAACTACTGAAATGGGGAAGACAAATACTCTCGGGCATTATCACTACGAAATGTGCGAATAGAAACCCCAAATTGATTTTGAATTTCAGCATGAAAGGTATGGAAAATAGAAAACAACTCAGATCGATTTTTTATCAAAAATATTCAGGTGCACCTAGAATAGTCATCAATGAAACTGACAAAGTAGCGGAATCCTAATGTAGAACTGACCCGACTAGGACCCCAAACATCTTAATGGACTAAAGTAAAAGGTGACTGCTCGATTATCAATACGTAGAGGGAAATGAGAGCGAGTATGCTTACCGAGCTGACATGACTCACACTCTAGAGCAAACAAGTGAGATAAACCAGGTACCATTTTCTGAAGTTTTGACAAACTGGGATGTCCCAACCGTTTATGTAATAAAGCTGGTGAATCAGTAACTGGACAAGTTGGTGATGGAAGATAAGATGTGAGTCCATGTGATTTAGCAAGGATAAGGTAATAAACTCCATTTGATTCACGCCCGGTACCAATGATCCTCCTTGTACTACGTTCCTGTATAAAAACATGATCATCAAGAAATAAAACGGCACATTTAAGCGATTTGGCTAGGCGACTAACAACTATGAGATTAAAAGGACTATTAGGGACATAAAGAACTGAATCTAAAGGTAAGGAAGGAATTGGGCTTGCTTGACCTATTGCAGTTGCCAATGGTTTGAGAACCATTGGCCATTGTGACTCTTGGAAGAGCTTAAGAATACGAAATAGTAGTGAAAAGAGATTTGTTACCAGAAATATGATCCGATGCACCTGAATCAATGGCCCAAGACTCAAAGGATGAAGATTGAGAGACACAAGTCACGCTATTACCCGTTTGAACAACGGAAGCTATCTCAGAAGATGTCTGCTTACCTGCTTTGTACTGAAGAAACTCAAAATAATCCGCTAAAGAAACCATCCGACTATTCGAAGTATCGATTCCCATGTCGCTACAATTAATAGTAGTAAGGTTAACTTGAAATAGTGGAAATTAGTAACTCTTTTGGGAAAACTGAAGAAATCGCTAAGAAAACATTGTTTCTGCGCCGGAAACTTAACACTGTTCTGCGTGGAAAATGCCAGAAATACTGTAGCAGCCGGAAAAAATTCAAAGTGGTCGGAATGAAATAAAAACAATCGGGGTAGGATCGGAATTACCAAACGACCCAACTGTTCTGAAGAAACTTTTTCAAAAAAATGGCCGACAGTCCACTTTTGAAATCACTGTTCACGTCGGAAAAATATAAAAGTGGTCGGAATTTGGTGTAACCTAGATGGGTAGGTTCGGAATTGCAAGGGGGACAATCTGTCCTGAAGAGTCGTCACCAAAAAATGTCCGCAAAGTGGCCCACGCGACGTTGGAACTTCGCCGGAAAAGTTTCTTCCGACGGCTACAATACCGCCGGAGATTTTCACTGGGGTTTGGTCGCCGGACAGTGACTACCCTTGTGGTAGTGTTGATTTTGCACAACACTGACCGAGACAAAGCAAACGCAAAACAACTTTGAAAAATCGCAGAAAAAAAGGGTTCCGGTGACTGATTTCACTTCCCGAAATCGCTGGAATTTATGCACAACGATAAATCTTTCACGATAGCTCCGATACCATGTGAGAAGGCATGGGAGAAAATATGATATATTGATATTGTGTGTTCAATACAATACAAGAAGTCCTTATTTATAGCTATACTATACAAGGACATATTACTCCTATTCCAATGTGGGACAAGACTACATTATGTACATATCTAACACACACCAACTGTTGTGGACTCAAAGCCAGGCATTTAAAAGGACATATAAACAGATGGTCTGCAGCACAGCACTGCACCAAGTAGTGATTTGCCAGAGATGTGCAATTAACGGAAAAGTAAAAATAAATACTCTAGCCAGCATTTAAAAGGACATATAACCACACCAACTGTTGTGGGCTCAAAGCCAGGTATTTAAAAGGACATATAATCACACTAACTGGTTTCATGACCAGACATCCAGCTCCTAAAACACCATGGCAAATTTTGGCTTCTATATAAATTAACCAAAGAAGCAAACGCAGAACAGCCACTTCTGTATTTTAATTTTTGCTAATTTTCCACAATAACCAATTTGAACATGAGTTAAGCTTCTTGTGCTCTGATGCAATAGTTCCAGTTACCTCAGTTACCAAGACTGCCCAGTGGAACTGTGTCAGTAGGGGAGGACAGCGACATACTTCAAATGAATTTCCCAAAAAATATACAAAAAGCATTTTCCACTCTGGTATATTATACACACACCCTTGCTCATATAACATATAGCAGTTGACATAACAAGCTAAATAAAGATCCTAGAGAAAGTTACAAAGCATGTAAATGGATGTTGATAATGAGCACCAAAACAACAGATATGAAATGGCAAAACCATATCCATCATCCACTTTACAAGACACGATGCAAAAGAAGAACCAAAGTTCAAAGACCCCATTACACACTTATACTTACTCTCACGATATCTCCAGCCTGCAGCTTCTTCCATGGGACATTTACCCATTTCTGGTCTTGCAACATGTCTATGGGCGAATTATTGATAGACATGTCATTCTGAAAACGCTTCTGTTACAAATAATAAAGGAAGGAACAAGAAAGGAATGCATAAGAAAATAGTTCCGAATCAAAAGGGGAAAAGGATAAAGGTGTCAATAGAAAATTACTCTATTTAAAGAATATCGTACATATAACAGTCAATTTAAGGACCAAAGGAGAAAGAAGGCAATGAAGGAAATAGTACTCACCCAGTCCTCCCAAGCCTCCTTAATTAGAGAAACAAGAAGCACCAAGCTCAAAGGAAGCACATTTGTTATTGGACTTACGGGACTGCATTCAAAGAAGATTCTTTTTTCAGGTGCAAATCATGAAAAAACATAGCAAATGTCATTAAAATATAAATTAATTTCTTGAAATAGTTTGCAAGATCTCTTCTTGCATTTCTTTTCTGATATTATTATCTATTCTGTTGAGCCGGGGTCTCCCAGAAACAGCCTCTCTACCCTTCCGGGGTAGGGGTAAGGTCTGCATACATCCTACCCTCCCCAGACCCCACTAGTGAGATTTTACTAGGTATGTTGTTGTTGTAGTAGTTTGCAAGATGACTTATAGACCAAGACACAAAAAAAAGGGAAATTTTATTACTTAATGTCAACGGCCAAACAACCTCCAATAGCAACACGCATCATTGACCTCTAATCTAGTGTAGATGCTTAACAAAAAAAATACCCTCACTCTCTCTAAACTAGACTCTTCTCTCATTTTCAGCGCAAATAATGCATAACCGGAGAGAGAGATAATAAGAGTAAGCCACATAAAAACATTAGATAGTAGTAATTTATACCTGATTGGAGTGCATGACAAAATTGAGATCATAAGGAAGTAGAGATTAGCCACCCGCCTGAACTGTAAGTACAGGAAGAAGGTCACAGAAATAAGATGAAGGTTATAGAAAGACGATTGAACAATACGGATGCATGGCCTCAAGAAAAATTTTCATGCCAAATACCTTCTTCCAAAAAAGAAGTCATGCCTAATTCAAATTGAATCCACTCGCTATATGTAAAATGATTTAACAGTCTGACACACTAATAGACTACAATTCATGTTGTTGTTCAATAAGGTAAAACAACTTTATTACTGATGAGAAAACCTCCCGTATAAGAATTGCATACCAAAGGTAGAGAATCTACACACACAAAAAAAAAAAAAGGGATGACTGTCTACAAGAGACACCTTATTTTCTATACAAACTGAAACCTCAAGGGTGGACAAAGAGAAACTAGGGATAAAAATATAATCCTCACATATATAAAATCATGTTCTAGTGTTCTATCCTTTCAAAAACACGCTTATTTCTATCCTTCCAGAGATACACATCAAGGCTAGTGGAGCAACATCCTAAGCTCTTCATCTTTTCTTCTTCTTTTAAAGGTCCAGCTAAATAGTTCCCCAATCACTAAGTCTGTCATCGTCCAGTTTAAACCAAACCATTTCAAAATATCTCGCTACAATCGAGATACTACTAACAGCGCAAAAGGAGATGATCTATGTCTTCGCCGAATTTTTACGCATACAACACCAACTCTTTCTCAATTTTTTGTTGTCAAGATCACTCCCTTTGCCTCTGTACAAGCAAAAAAAACACATTTGTCCCCCAGAAATCCAAACCGATAGGTTTGAAAGTGCAGGTCATTAATAAAACTATTTTCCTTATCAAAAAACAGGTTTGAGAAGGCAGATCCTTCTACGACCAAAAGCTCATGGTAATATGACTTAAAAGAGAACATTGTATCGCATTCCAACCCCCATCTACTAGTGTTATCAAAGGCTCATTTGAGGCACGCTTAAGCCCCGAGCTCAGAGAAGCTCAAGGTAGATGCTTCGCCTCATTTAGGCTGCGTTTCAGTGTAGGCAAGGCACTAACGCGTGCCATTACCCACAAGTTCTACTTTGAATAGACCGGTACTTAACAATAAATATGATTGGCCAAAAGAAATGTTAATTGTAATCATTATAAATGAAGTTGTTACTCTTTTTTTGCATTACATATATATGTTTTTATTCTTTTCTTCGTAGAGCATTTTTATCGTTTTTCGCTTTTGACAACATTGTCATCTACAAAAGTCTTAATTGGCTAGCACTATATTATGTTTGTAGATCATTTTAAATTTCGTTATCTCCCCATCCTAGAGATCCCTCTTAAACTCTAAATCCATCCCAANTTTCTTTAAGCAACGATTATCCTTTTTTTGCTTGACTAGAGGCCATCAATCACCCTCCTGAAAACCAAAAATCATCCTTTTGTGTTATACAGTCATCTCTTCCTGGCACAAACTCTGTAGATGTTTAAAAATGTACGTCTCAATATACTCTCAAACACCAATTGTGCCCCCAAAAACTGAACATTTTTCCAACCCCAACCCTGAATACAATATAGCCATTGAACCCATTACATCCCTTCATGATAATTCCTCTCCATGTCGTACCGAAAATAAAGAGTAATGTTTTCAATCTTCTAACTCCCTTCACAATTCTATAATGTTCTGCTATCGCAATATTCCATACAACATGCTCCTCCATCCCAAATCTCCATACCTAGTTTCTCGATATAGCCGCGTTAAACATAAAGATCTTTCACCCCTAAGGGCTGAGAGTTTGAGCCTATTTTTAACTCCATTTAAGGTTGAGAGTTTGCACCCTTTTTCCAATTTTCTTTAAGCAACGATTATCTTTTTTTTGCTTGACTAGAGGCCATCAATCACCCTAACATATGGACAAATTGGCCTAACAAACTCTTTGTGTCATCGTCTCCTTTTTTAACTTGTTTTTGTGACTTGATTTGCAACTACTCGTTATGGTTGCATCGTCATTTCAAGCAATTGTGGCCTCTCTTCTCTTTCTCTACTCCACCTCGATTTCCACCTTCCCTTTCTCCCCCCTCATCTCCCTC